TAATAATATTCATATTGTATCGTTATCTTTTCTCCAAGCTATTATTTCTAAATACAACCATCAAGATTTTTATATATGTCCATAAATCATATCGATAAAGAATTTGTGTCTGTTTCTTTTTTTTTTTTTTTGCTATGCGCATTTTATAATAGTTGATGAATGAATTACTTTTATCAATACACAAAAAGCAAAAGGACAAAAGTAAAATATTATTATACTCGGATGATTTGAAGCGTAATTGTCTCATGTCTATTTTTTGTACATGTCATTACTATCAATATTTTAAATTCATATTTGCATAGTAAATACGAAGAAGAGTAATAGCATCAATATCAAACATAAATGAAGATGGTAACTTAATCTAATGGATCTAGTTCTATCTTCAACGGTTTTTTCCTCCTTTTATCTCTAACAAACATAATCTCTCTATGTTTTTTATACGCACCGAATATGATCGTATTTCCGGCGTTGCACATCACTCAAGCTTCCTATTCCTAAATAATCCGCTTTTCAATTGTTATAATTAAACCATCGAACAACATACATTTCAAAAGAATTATTACTTTTTTAATAAATGTAGAATAGTTACTGTCTGTATTCGTTGTTCTACATTCGTTTTGACACGATGTTGAAATTCAATGAATCCAAAAAGAAAAACATCAATCAGAGAAAAAAAATGAAAGAGAGAGAGAGGGAGAAAGCAAAGAGAAATATATATATATCTGTATGAAGACATGTAAAGTCTACATGTCTGTGAGAAAATGAAAAAGAAAACTGTTAATTCAACGTTCATTTACTATTTGTAAAGAAATCTCACGATGTCCAACATAAAATAATATGAATGAATCACACATACTTGATAAATGACGATTAACTGTATGCACCAGTTCTCCTTATTTTCTTTCCTTTTTAAGCATTTTGTAAGTCATACATATACAATCGATAGTGATTTATCGTTTTCTTTCTTCTCCATATCTGCTCTGCATTTATGTTTATCTTTCTCTTCTTCTCTCTTCGACTGATTTGGTGTTTCTGTCAAAATAAATGACATAGAATAAAGGTGACGACAAGTTGTTTCGGTAGCATACGAATATATGTATATATATTCATGTGTTCGTACCGTGTCCTATATTGAGTCTTGTTCTATAATTAATACCACTTGTATATGTCTACACGTGTATATACGCGCTTTTGACGCATCATCGCTTTTCTTCATACATATGAAACTATCGTATATAACTATTTTCACTATAATTTCATGATATAATGATATTGTTGATGACAGGTATGCTTTTTAAAATATATCTTTTTTTGTTTTTAGTATAGTATATGTAATTATATGGTAGATTTTTAAAAGAGAGGATTTTTCAGTCATCATTACTATTGTCTAATTGATGTTGCATAGTTTTATCTATTATTTAGAATCATTAAATTATTTAATTCTAATACTTAATAAGTTCTTTTTGATAATAAATACAATGTATATGTATCAACATATGTTTTCTTGAATACTCTCAATCATATAAGTGTGATCAGTTGTGTGATAAATATTTCTTGTTTAAGATGACATTTACTCTTCATCATATTGATTGCCATCTTGTATTATCTTGATCAAATAGCAAATGAGAAAGACGAAGACAAACTGATTTCATATGTACAAGTTTCTAACGAAAAGAATGAAATAATTCATTTATCATGGTGTTTATTATCATTATCTTCATTGTCCGAAGATATATAAATAATATATATATATATACAGTGCAAGAGGAAATAAATAAATATAACTCATAATATTATTTTTTTCTATCTTTAAAACGAAAGTAAGACAAGATATAATCAGTAAATCGATAGAAACGATAACGAAACAAATAGTTTTACTTTTATGTTTTCTTTTTTTTTTTGTATGAATAAAGAGAGGAAATAATATTTGTATCTATAAGATCGGATCTTCATCAATTGCTATGACTTGATGTGCTAAAAATAGATTATTTATTCATGACAAATAATCACACTAAGTGAAAGAGTATAGTATATGACGTGTTTGATTTATTCATCGTTGATGATGAAAGTTAGTCCTAGTAAAAGCAGAATAAATAAATATTAGTTCACTTTTATGATTTTTTTTTGTTAATCTTTACAGATATTTTTTATAAGACGCAATTTTCTTTGTTTTTATAATATGTTATAAAAATTTCATATGACTTCTTGGAAAAAAGTATCAAATTCCTCTTTTTTTTTTCCTTAAGTATATAAGCTAAAGCGTAAAATACGATATGATATATTTTTTTTTTTTTTCTAAAAGTATGTTAGACTTTGCTTAATCATTTTTGATACATGCACATATCTTAAATTAATGTAACATTCCGTTATTTGCTACAAAAAACATAACTGAAAAAGAATAAAAAGAAAATAACGTCTCGTATTTTCTAGTTTAATATATATCTTTGCTATAATAGTAATTCGATTCATTTTAGTTAGAAAAAAAAAACACAAAGCGGAACATTTTTAGTATTGACGATAACTTCGTTAAAAAGCAAATCAAATATCCTGTACTGTCGTTCTTAGGTAGATGTCCCTTTAAGACAACTCAAAGCTAGAGGGTTTAACAAAGTAAATAAATATTAGCAAATGAAATATTCTTCACAATCTTTTTGAATAATAATTTATGTAAAATTAACAATGTGAAAAGCATGTTGGTTTTTGATCCAATTAGATGAAAATTGATTAGGTGTTTTCACCATCATTTAAGCAAAGATTTATTTTCATAGATTTTGTTTCATTTTTACCATCTAAACTAAGATATTGATCATATAATATTAGAACCAATTGATGAATATATCCTTGAAAAGCACTTAATATAACTGATAATTTTCCTGTTTTGGAAATAATATACTAAGTAAAAAAAAAAAAAAAAGAAAAGAAAGACGTAAAATAACAGGGGATGCCCGTAAGAAAACATTGAGACATTATTATTCTTTTCTTAATAAAAAAAAAAAAAGTGACATAAAACAAGCAATTCAATCTATACTACTATTCTTTCTTGTTACCCGATTTTGTTCTTTAATTAAAACCTACTCGTGTAAGTATTAGAAAATCTTCGCTTATTTGACATCAACAACTCAAGTCGTTCTAAGTTAATTTACTTTGTTTCCGCTTGTTTCTTTTTTGAATATGCATTATAGTATTGATTCAATTAGACTCTACATTCGATGTTGACAACTATTGAGAGTACTCAGACAAGCAAACAGAGCGAAAGAAAAATAAATGGATAGAGTATAAAAATATCTCTCACGAGTATAGATGAAACTATGCTGAAAAACTCATGAATTGTTTATATGATAAGGAAGATATAATGTATTGCTTATTAAACAAGACTAATTATACTAGACAACCTACTGAATTAGATATATATATATATATATTATACATCAATGACAAAATAAGAGATAAAAGTGATAAATTCAACATATTAATAGAAGAAAATATTAAGAACAAATACGTATGTATATGTAATGATGCCAAAAAAAATGGAAACATTGATACAATATTCATAATAAGTGTTATGTTGACGTTTCATATGAAAAAAAAAAAATTTTTTTAAGAAAATACTTACCCTTTGTGTGGAAAAGAGATTCATCTGTTTAATATTATATTTATGGATAAATTGTTATGATATACTGACATACTTGTAAGTGTATTTATATGAACATAGCGATTGATATCATAAATACATGAATGAAAGACACCATATGTTTGACTGTAAGAATTGCAAGTTCAGTTTTCTTTTTATTCGAGTTTATATGAAATAAGACCATTTTGATTTGTGATATTTTGTATTTATTTATCAATATTTTTTTGACTTTGAGTGTTTTCAGTAGAATTTTTGATTAAAAAGATATAAGAATATATTTGATCTTATTCAAAACGACCTAGTAATTGCCATATGTATTATGTTTGATTATATAATCAAACATCTTATTAGTGTTTTTCTTGTTAGATTGCAAATTATGTATCAATGATTTGATTGATATATATATCAACATGTCATATATGTGATATTCCATTTATTCTTATCGGACTTTAGGAATTTCGAGAGAATTATTTTTCTTTATACATGTATAAAGATAAGAGTACAAATAAAATAGATACTATAAAAATTTAGTTTAGAAACTTCAATAATGAAAGTGTCAGATGCCATTTTTTCTTTGTTTACATATGCATGTTCAAGTTGATATATATATATATGTCGTGCCGAAGTTATAACTTCAGTAAAAATTTTGTCGAAGTTGTTAACAACTTCGAGAAAATTTTTGCCGAAGTTACAACTTCGGCACGACATATACACAGATAGAATATTATCTTTGTTAACATAGAATCATATTCTTTTCTCAATCCTTTTTGCTTTAAGAAAATTAATTGTAGAAACATGATGAGATAGGGTTTTCTTTTACCGAGTCATACCTGTGAAAATATCATTTTTATTAGAAACGAACATTGATAGTTCATAATACGCAGTTGGTTGACTTCAACAGAGTTTATAAGGTAACAAATAATTATTTATGCATATATATATATTAGGTAATATGAAGTCAAATAATGTATGACAGAGACATTTTTTCTATATGAACATGAATGTGATAGACATTTACTTGTAAATTTATTTTTTTTTTTTTGTTTGATTATTAAATTAATGAAAGATAAGATATATTAGTATTGTCATTCAACTACATGAAGTGACATTAATCTAATACGATTACGCTAGAATAGAAGAGAAAAAAAAAAAAAAGGTTTGTTGCTCAATAAGATTTCGACAATATTGAATCAAAGAATAATTCTTTAAAGTCTTATGAGAACAGACAATAAGTATGTTTATTATTTAAATAAATATAATTTGATATCTCTTAATAACGAAACAACATAAATTTTATTTTTTCATTCTTTTCTTATTTTCAGATAATCGACCGTCCATCTGGTTGTGATAAACTCATATAATAATCTCAATGTTGTCATCAACAAGTGAAAATTTATTATCGAATGATTCATTGAACAATGAATTATATTGTCCCGCTTTATTTGATAATCTGTGTTGGCCAAAAACTCGTGTCAATCATTCAACTACTATTTCATGTTCACCATTGACAATGCGAGGAGTTGATTCTAGCAGTTCGTAGTTTTTAGATAAAAAAAAAAATCTTTCTCTAATTTATATAGAATTTATCACTCGTCATTGTCTTTCAACGGGAAATTGGTCAAATGTCTCATATGAACCCTGTGTTTATCCGGATGTATGGGAATTAATGAAGACATTTTATATATCAAGGACACTTCAACAAAGAAAAGTTTGTTTTTGATATATAGGATTTTAACTTGCAATTATGAATGTACATATGTTTTTTTTTGTCTTAGGCTTATACGGATATTATTCAAGCTGTGCGTATAATTGAATTAGTTGGATTATCAATATCATTTATCAGTGTACTTGTTTCTCTTGTAATATTTTTTACTTTAAGGTAAATAAATTTATTAAAATAAAATTTATTTATTTATTAATTTATTTTTTTTTTCTTTTCGAAATAGATCTCTTTACTGTAGTCGTACAAAAATTCATATTAATCTTTTATTAGCAATATTTATTCAAATAATTGCTCGAATAGTTAATTATGGGTATTTATTTGAATAATATTTCGTTTCAGTTTAATATTTGTTGAATTTGTTTTAGTATTCAAATGAAACAATCGAATAATTCTCCACAGGTAGAATGTGGTATTGATGGAAGTGTTCATCGTCATGGAATTTCATCTTTATTTAAAAATATGTGTCCATTAATTGTCATATTTTTACAATTTAGTATAACTTCTATGTTTATGTGGATGTTATGCGAAGGCATTCATCTTAATAGCATATTAACTGTTAGTGTATTTAAAAATTATTTTAAAACATTTTATTTTTATATACTTGGATGGAGTAATAAAAAGACTTTTTATTTAATTAAATTTTTTTTATTTTGTTTTTTTTTTCTATAATAGTTGTTCCATTTTGTATAACATTCAGTTGGAGTATTATTATGTTTGTTAAAGAACGTGATCGAGAGTAAGTTCTTATTAGAAAAAAAAAACAACAACAATATAATCTTTTCAATCGATAAATTTACTATTTAGATGTTGGGCAAATTATAATTATCTTAAATATTATTGGATTATTGATGGACCTCGGTATGCAGTAATGATTGTAAGTTTATTTTTCTTTAATTAAATATATGAAAAAAAAAAAAAAAAACATCTATTTTTTCTAGATAAATTTTCTATTTTTATTAAATATAATACGGGTTCTATTAGTTAAAATCAAAGAAGGTTCAGAAAAACAAATACGTGATGAGTAAGTGGAAAAAAAAACTAACTTTATCAAAAAGAAAAAAAAAAAAAAAAAAGAACGAAAAAAAATATTTCAATCAAAATTCTTAATTTATACAGTATTAATCAATCAGATTCTCATGGTGCATTATCCCATTTAAAATCTTGTATAAGTCGGTAAAATAAGCTGAAACAGTATTAATAAAATTTGCTTCTTTTTTTTTAAACCTAATACTATTAAAGAAAATTGAACTATTCTATTTAATCTATAATTTATATAAAAACATTTAGAAAACATCGTCGTGGTTCTATGAATACAAAATTTGTCAAGTAATTATAATAGGTGTCTTTCTTAACATATTTCATTTTGCTATATTTATAGAACAGCAGTAAAAGCAGCCATTTTTCTATTACCTCTATTGGGTATTACACATATGCTTGAAACATTTGTTTCACCAGGTAACAATGAATGAATAAAGAAAAATATTATTATTTTTTTTTTCTTGTTTAAGATAAAAAATCAATTGTGTTATTTGCTCTGTATTGCTCGGTGACTTATTTTTTAGTGACATTTCAAGGGTTTTTCTGTTCATTACTTTATTGTTTCTTAAATACAGAGGTAAAGTTTTTGTTTTCTTTTTTGTCTAATTCGAATAAGCAGAAATGTTCCGAGCGAAGGACGTCGGAGAAGTAATCCTCTTCCCCCCCGCCCATTTGATGACCTCGGGACATCTTTGCAAATAAGTAACGTTTTATTTTAAAAGGTTCGTGAAACATTATCTCGTCGTCTACAAACCATACAAATCTGGGTTCGATGGAAACGATGGTTAGGACGAAAAGATCAATATAGAGATGGTACAATTAATGGCGATGATCGAACACGATTAGAATTATTAATTCCTCAACCAAATTTAGGAACAGTAAGTCTTTTACGTAGAACAATATAAATTTTGATTATTTTATTTTTATTAAAGAAGATGGCATTTGAAATGGATGATCGTGGAATAAAAAAATGATGTTGATACAATTCCTCAAAAACCAGTTGAAATATTTCATTAAAAATTTATTTAAAGACAATTTTTTTGTTATTTTCTTTTCTTTATGGTGAACAATTTATCGTTTTAATATCAATTGTGTCTTAGTTTTCTCTCTCTTTGTCTTTGTCAAAAATTTTTCGACGAAATTATGAATATTAAAATGTACAGTTGTCATATTTATCGTTTTTTTTGTTGTACGTTGAAAAAATTTATATGTAACGTAATTATTAAGATAATAACTTGGATTTAAATCATAGATAGATATTAAATGAATATACACCAATATGAACAAATCAATTCAATAATTCAATTAAAATAAAAATCAGTATTACAAAAGGTATTACTATTTCCTAAGAAATCATGGTAGTATAAATTTTCACATTTTAACTCAACAAAGTTGTCAAGTATATATGTGTGAGCCAAAATTGCTAATAGATACCTCTTTTTTGTTTTGACTTGGTTTGAGTTGTCTCAGAATGCTTGCATGCCAAATCAGATCAGCTTGTACTTCTAGTTGTTCGAGTATGTTCAATTGTATTCTTCTACATTATAGTAACTACCAGGACTTATTTTTCGAGATTTATTAGGATTTTTTAAAATATATTCTGATATCTGTTCCTGTTTCGAAACTCATTAAAACTTGTGTGGGTGTGGAAGATTCAAATAATAACCTGCTGAAAGAATAATATATTCGGAATAGATTCGATAGAAAATAGTTATTTGGTGTTTTGTAGCAGGAATTTTAATAGGAATTGTGGCAGGAACCTTTTTATGACATAATCAAAAGAAAATCCTGAGTTGCAAAAAAAAAGAATGAACCAACTAACGATTTGAGCCTTAGATATATGAATTGAGCAGCCATTACTCTTCCTATATGCAGAAAGTATCTGCTGTATAACGAATTAATCCACTCAGGAATTAACTCATGTTAAGGAATACTAATAGAGATATATTCATGTAGAATAGATCCGCTGAGGAATTATTTCAGTTTAAAGAATTTATATGACAACCCGTGTTACAATAATGTTTAGAAAATAAAATCTACGGGAAAAAAAAGTAATTCAACAGTAAATTAATTTACATTGATATGTATTTAGATTAATCTTATAGAAGCCACCATACTTGCATCATATGCGACATATAAAAAAATGTCTCCATGATAGCAAAAACAACATAGCATTAGACATACAACAAAGAGGTAAAAGAAACAACTACAGTATGAAGATAAAATTTACAATCCAATACTTTTAAATTTAAACAAGTTCTTTTATCAAGTCAATGTAAATCTTATGACACTTAGTTGATGTTCATTTCAAGCATTTATTGCTGAAATTGAAGAAATTTGTCAAAACTATTCGCCAATAATAAGACTATGCATCAATATTTCACTTTCAAAACGTATAAGTCGGAGCAACAACTTCAGCCTGGCCTGACAAGCGTCTGCCAGACAAACAGACCAGCTCGGTAGCTCTGGTATGACTACGTTTTCCTTTCTATTGGATTTGAATTAATACAAGAGGAAAAAGCAAATAACATCTACTAGCCATTGTATCACATATAACTATCTTCTACCTAGAGACTGGCATGACTCATGATTACAATCGTGGCTAATTTTTCAGCAAACTTCGTGAAAGTGATCAAAGTCTGGTTGCGATAAAATTTTAATTTAACCTATGATGATTATCCTTTTTTTATTTTATTAGGGAGTTCACATAACTTTTTATAAAAGTTTAACTCTAGATTCGAACTCATTGTACTTTCTTTATCATAAAACCTCAGAAACACTTGTTCTTAATAGCAGCACATTTATTATTTTATATGACTCGTATTCAAAACCAACTGAAAATCTTTTTATTCAATCTTTTTGCATTTCAATCGGACATCGTATCAGTGAATTATTTGATTGAAATATAATCAATATTATGAACCCATTGAAAGAAGCTTATAGAAGTTGGTCTATTGATATTCTGAAATGATCTGATGAATTCATCTCATGAACTTGCGATTTAATCTTTCAGTTCGAGAGAAACATGATCCGATTGAGCTCTTTATCGAATTAGAACATTTCGTTATTTGTTGCATTCTTTTTCATCAAGTAAAAAACTTTATTGACATGAGTCTATACAATTTTGCATAACAGTAATATGGGCAATAGCTTTCTAACAGATACACTAAAGCGATTTATAGATGTTTCCTGATTCATGGTAACGATCACGATCATAACTAAACAATTATCTGTACTTCTAACGAATATGAATTGATAAAATAAAAAACTATCCCAAATACAAAGATTACTTTTTTGTACATTACACATGGGAAAAAAAGTGAAGTCTATAAATTTGTCATTTCTTTTTATATCAATTTTGCTATTCTTTATTTTCATATTAAAAGACTGGTATTTATAGATTGGATATTTACGGTCTTTTTTAATGCTGCTTATCGTAGGATTTTAATAATGATTTTTGACTATTTCTTTTATCGCAGATATATAGATATAAATGATATTTCTATACAGAAAAAAATGGATACAAAACAAATGATATGTGTGTAGCAAAGAGATGGGATCCAAACGCTCTCAATCAATTATAGTGTAAAATCATCGTCTAAATCCAATTAATCGCAGTTCACTAATGGTTTTAGATTGATTCTCACAACATATGAAAGTGAAAACATACAACAAGGACACAATATTGGTTATTATATTAAATCAGCTTTTCGAAAACATTAGTAAATTACATTTTAATAATAAGTTCATTAATAAATATTGATTGAGTTACATAAAACAGAGAATATAACACGTTTTCCGTTGAACTTGATTCTATATAAAAACTAAAAAGATATCCAATGAATCATGAATTAGACTGTTAGGATTTAACTTATAGAAACAATGATATATTGGATGATATCATCTTGTTTCATTTTTACGTTTACTTTTGAACACTGCAATGTAATATTAAAACACATAGATTTTGAAGTGTGACCCGTCATAACTTGTCATGATCGTATCGATTTAAGTGTGGTAAACAGAGAAAACACTTGAATCATAGAATATAAGCATTATTCACTCTTACCATACAAAAGAAGTCAGAATAAATTTCCTAGATCAATAAACATCATTTTTCAATTAAAGCGGTAAGTCGATTAAGAGATTGAGATATTCTATTCTGAATTGAACTTTATTTTTATTACTGCTTTAGTTTTCATGTAAGTTATGATTTAATCGTCTCAACTCAATATTGGATTTTTTTGCATTTGTAACAACTAACTTTTATAGACATGAAATATAAACTTAATAACAAGTGTATGTGATGATATATCCTAGATAATATACTTCGTTTTAGGAAGTTAGCAGAATAAGATAAAGTTCATTCATTTAACCTATAAATTTATATTCAATGATCTCGTCATAAATCAATATAAATCATAGTTAGTTCCTCTTGAACAAGAAAACTATAGATGGATTAAAATGACCATCAATCAGTAACATTATCTGACAGTTGCATAGTTCCTGTTGTCAAGTCAAGTGACTGTCTTGTTCAGTAGACCGTTATCTTTTCTTCTCTCAAAATTGAAAATGTCCAGCCGGCAACTAATCGAATTACCTTAACACATATGTTCTTG